CGAATTTAGCAACCGATTCCATTCAGACTTGGCACATCTAAATATTTTCATAGACACAAAATCTGTCAAAAAAATGGTAGGTCAAAATTTTGAATAACCCATACAATCATAAAATTCAAAATAAGCATCCGATTCTCTTCAAATTACACACATCACAATATTTTTTTTAGCTCAACGTCTGATGTGAAGATGGCATGTACCGGTCCACTCTTTCTAGTACCTCCCCCACAATGGATAAAAAATTTAAATATTCATGAAGCTCATAAAACGCGAAATTAATATCCGGTTCTATTCAGACTTGGCACATTTCAATATATTGTAAAACACAATGTCTGATAAAAAAAGTGGTAGAGATCGGACCATTACTTCTGGTACCTCCTCCACAAAGGGTCAAAATTTTGAATAACCAAAACGAGCATAAAATCCATAATAAGCATCCGATTCTCTTCAAATTACATACATCACAATATTTTTATTAACTCAAGATAAAGATGGGATATATAGGTCCACTCTTTCTAGTACCTCCCCTACAAAGGGTCAAAATTTTGAGTATTCCAGAAGCTCATAAAACGAGAAATTAACATCCGATTCCATTTAGACTTGGTACATGTCAATATTTCCATCAACACAACATCTGTTAAAAATATGGTAGTGATCGGACCACTCCTTTTGGTACCTCCCCCACAAAGGGTCAACATTTTAATGACCAAAACGTTAATAAAATCCAAAAAAAAGCATCCGATTCTCTTCAAATTATACGTATCAAAATATTTTTATTAACTCAAGATCTGGGGTGAAGATGGGATATATCGGTCTACTACTTCTGGTACCTCCTCCACAAAGGGTCAAAATTTTGAGTATTCAAGGAGCTCATAAAACGCGAAATTAACATTCGATTCCATTCAGACTTGGCACATTTCAAAATTTCCATCAACACAAGATCTGTTATAAAGATGGTAGAGATCGGACCATTCCATCCGGTACCTCCCCCACCAAGGGTCAAAATTTTGAATAACCAAAACGAGCATAAAATTCAGAATTGGTACATCCCAATATTTCCATCAATACAAGATCTGTTATAAAGATGGTAGAGATCGCAGGTACACGTCGTCGTATACCCCGTTCCAGGTAGGTACACGCCTTCGTATACCCCCATACACCGGGGTAATGATGTGTCACACTTTTCATGATTGATTTTTTGATGATTAGACTTTTCACCAGAAATGTTTTAAATTTGGAATTTGACGTTCCTAACAGCCTGTGACAGAAATTTGCCTTTGTAGTTCCATGTCTTCATATAGCCCCCACAAACCAGTATCTCCCTATATTCGGTATTTTGATGATTTTGGAGACATTTACCAACGAAATTGTTTTAAATTTCGTATATGAAGTTCGTAAAGGATACTACAGCCTGGGACAGAAAATTTCTTTTGCAGATCCACGTCTTCGTATAGCCCCCATATAACAATACCTCCCGATATTCGGTATTTTGATGATTTAAGCGACATTATTTATCGGAACTGTTTCAAATTAAGTATTTGAAGTTCTTAATGAGTGCTAAAACTTATGACAAAAAATTGCGTATGCAGGCCAAGGCCTTCGTATAGCCCCCATATAGTGATTCCTCCCGATATTCGGTATTTTGATGATTTTAACGACATTATTCGCCGGAACTGTTCCAAATTTAGTATTTGAAGTTCTTAGTAAGTACTACAACTTATGGCAAAAAAATGGCGTATGCAGGCCAAAGCCTTCGTATAGCCTCCATATAATGGTACCTCCCGAAATTCGGTATTTTTTGATGATTTTTAGCGACATTATTTACCGGAATTGTTTCAAATTTCGTAATTGAAGTTTTTAATGAGTACTACAACCTACGACAAAAAATCGCATATTCAGGTCCACGTCTTCGTATAGCCCCCACACAACGAAACCTCTCAATATTCGGTATTTTGATGATTTTAGCTGCATTATTCAACGGAATTGTTTCAAATTTCGAAGTTGAAGTTCTTAATGGGTACTACAGCCTGTGGCAGGCCCAAGATCCACGCCTTCGTGTGCCCCTCATATATCGGTAACTCCCAATATTCCAAATATTGAACTTTTTGTGATATTATTTACCAGAATTGTTTCAAATTTTGTATTTGAATATTGACAAAAATTGTCTATACAGGTCCACGTCGTCGTACAGGCTCCGATATAGCGATAACTCTAAATTCGGTATTTTTATGAATATAACAGTCTTTTACAACAGATTTTTTTTTATTTGAAAATTTTCAAATTTTTTCCAAGTGGTGGAGGGTAATGAATGTTGGTTCCGGCCGAAATTACAGTTTTTTTCTTGTTTTAATTAGATTTTCAATATTCATATCATTTTAAAAATTAATGTTTCTTTAATGTCTGCTTTGGAATCCGATATCATATCCTTCCCTTTTCTAATAGAGAAAGGTCCGAATGGTTGTTTTTCCTCCATTCCATAATAATTTAGCACCACTGCAGTATATGTCCCTTCGACCCTTTTGCAGAACTCTAAAATTGCAAAAAAAAGAATGAAAACAAAATAATTAACAAATTTAAGATTTAATTAAATTTAATTAAACATGTGCCACAATTTCCAATTCCAAACACCAGCAGCAGCAGCAGCAACAATAAATTTATTATTAATCCAAATGTTGCAGCTTTACTACTTTCGTATGCGAATGTTCGTCTCGACCATTTCATTTCATGACTGTATCTCATTTATTTTTCTGGCAATGCTTTAATCGAAGAATAAACGTTTATCTATAATTTGTCAGTTGGGCGAACAGGGACGTCGTTGGAGTTGAGTTATTTGAAGTAAAACAAAAAAATCAAAATCATCAGCCTCAGCCTCAGCCTCAGCGACGGACATCGCTAAATCGACTCCAAATGTGCTGAAATGGATTTGATCCAAAGAGACCTAGAGTCTAAAACCGTTATATCTACCGTGGCCGTATTACATGATGTATAGGGTGAGATGAAAAAATTGCACCCAACTTCAGACTGCTCTCATTTTTAAGCCACTCGTCCGACAGCTGTTAAAATTATTCCAGTGACAGCTCATTATATTGTTTACAAGCGTACAAAAGCATTTTGGTGAGAATTCTCCGGAAAAAAGTTATTCGTGATGGAATTTAAGAGTGATAGTGTGATTTCTTTATATTTGGCTGGAAAACCACAAGTGGCGATCGTTAGAGCACTCCAGGATTTAAATGGGGAATAAATCTTCTGTGTCTCGTACAATCGCTCATTACCGTGATACTGGTAGCGTAGCCCGATGTCAAGGAAGTGGACGGAAGAAAAGAGCAGCAACATCAGCAGAAATGGTTCGAAAAGTAAAGTAGCCACGTGATCGAAACCCACATCGCAGTGGCCGAAAAATAGCTCGTGAGCTGAACATATCGCAATATTCCATTCGGCAAATATTGAAAAATGAGCTCGGGGTAAACTCATTGCAATTCCAAAAAGTGCAAGAACTTACATCGCAACAGAAAGAAAACAGACTCAAAAGAGCTAAAGAGTTGCTTCGCCTGGCCGAAAGTGGTGCACTGCCGAGTTTGGTTTTCTCCGTCTCCGGTGAGAAAACATTCGTTGTCCAGCAGTTTGTAAACAAACAAAATTGTCCGCTCGTGTTTACTTGCCAAAGGGGTCAGCTGAAAATGTGCATCTTCGGTTGGCCACCAGAACACAGGCGCCGGCCATGGTGATTGTGTGGGCCGCCGATGGTCGCTCTGCGCTCGTATTCATCCACCGTGCAATCAGAATAAATGCCGAATATTATCGCGAAAATATTCTGGAGGGTGTATTAAAGCCTTGGGCACGCAAACATTTTGGCCACAGACCTTGGACATTCCAACAGGACTCAGCACCATCGCACTCCGTGGCATCAGAATAAATGCCAAATATTATATCGAAAATATTCTGAAGGGTGTATTAAAGCCTTGGGCACGCAAACATATTGGCCGCAGACCTTGGACTTTTCAACAGGACTCAGCACCATCGCACTCAGCAGGCGCAACCCAAGAATGGTTACAAAATGAGATTCCTCGTTTCATTTCCAGCGTACAATGGCCACCAAAAATTTCCGTATACCAATCCGTTGGACTATTGCGCCTGGAGTATTTTGGAAAGCAAGCTTGACCCCAAAAAATACCAAAGTGTCGATCACCTCAAGCAAGCGCTTCGCCGGGAATGGGCCAAAATACCGTAGAGCAATATTCGGGCAGCTTGTGTTGGTTTCATTGGCAGTTTGAAGGCCATAATTCGTGCCAAAGGTGACCAATTCGAGCAAATCTAAACTTATTCTAAAATTTGATGCTATCTCCGACATTTTTCCTTTCATTCAATAAAATTTAAAAAAAAAATGTAAAAATTATGGCGTTTGACTTTGTTGCAGTTTTTTTATCTCACCCTCTAGCCATATGGCTGAGGGTATAAAAATATAAAAATTATCAATTCCCACCTGCCATAAAATTCCGCATGTCTACAATTCAGTGATCCTGTGCCAATTTGTATCTAACGTACGGTAAGATAATAAAGGTGATGACCCACACACACAGATGTTGAAACTTTGAATGGAGGGACGTGTAGCCGCAAAATGCGATTTGAAATTATGCCCGATCGAACGAAGCCGAAACCTCTTAAAACCCCTTTCTGTAGACATATATCCTTCTAGAAGGGAAATTTCCTTTATCTAAATGGGGAAATTTCCCAATTTTAAGAAATTAAAAAAAATCCCCCTCTCCAACTACGCCCCTGTGCCTGCAATTTTGTAGCAACTTTCAATTTCATGTCCTAACACCAGCAAGTCCTATTATTAAAAAAATTACAAATTTTATTGCAAAAAATACGCAAGTAGGCACTTGAAAACAGAGAGAACGGAGAAAAAAAACAAAAAACGGAAATTGCAACAACTTCCGCATCTGGGCTTCATAGCATTGCCGAATCGTTTGCAGTAGTCAGCAGTTTGTGTCCCAATCCAAATGGCCCTGAACAGTACCATAGCCTTGCTGATATTGACCTCGAGCCACGTTATCCCAAGCAGCAATGGAGCAACGAACCACTCTCACCCGCAAATGGTCAACAGCTCTTTGCTAATCGAAATCGTCAGAAGTTTACATAATTTAAACGATTTCAATAATTTCGTGTTTTTCATCTCGGATCGATTGACCAAGGACACGCATACGGCTGCCGAGTTTTTCCACGATTTTTGGCATGTCTTTCCCACGATACCGATAACCATAAAGGTGGATAATACCGAAAATATGGACGGATTTCTAAGTATACCCTCACTGTGTTTGGTCCTGACCACCGCGCCCAATGATCCCATAATGCGAGTGGCATCGATTGGCCTAAAGGGTTTGCGTTATGTAAGGACTCTCTTTATTCTATTTCCCTTTGCGGGAGAGGATAGCAACGAGGAGCTCTACGAGACCATATGTCAAATATATCACTGGGTGTGGAGAAAACAATTCATTAACACGGCCCTGCTAACGATACGTAATGGAATATTCATACACGACCCCTACCCTGAGCCAAGCATTGCGAATTTAACCCACAACTGGACAGCGGAACAATTCTTCGTTACCTCCAATATGGATTTTAAGGGCTATGAAATACGCACACCCATACACCATGATTTGCCCCGCGTATTCTACATGACCAAGCCGCGACGTTTCATTACCAAGAACCACTTCGTGAGTGGGGTGTCGGGAAAGCTGTTCACCTCTTTTGTGGAATTTATCAATGCCACCTTCAATGAGACCACAACCAATGAGCTGGGCACTCAGCCGGTAAATTTGAGTGACATCATACGCAAGGTGGGTGGCAAGCGTTTGGAAATCAGCCTACATTCCTACACCGATATGCTACCCAAGAAAAGTGGCACCAGCTATCCCATTGGCATCAATGACTGGTGCATAATGGTACCCTATCACAATCGCACACCCGACCATCGTTTCATTAAATCCAGTTTTCGAACATATGCCTGGTATTTGGTTATCTTCAGCATTGCTTACATAACCCTGGGAATTTGGTTTTGTACTCCAACGCCCCAGCGCGACTTAAGCCTGTCATTTATACAAGCCATATGCTCGCTGCTGCTAATACCCCCCTTACGGGTACTCACCTTACCCTGCTGTCGCATGCGTTTTATTTTTATCATTCTCTTTGTGCTCGGTTTCATCACCACCAACTGGTATGTCAGTAAAATGGCCAGCTTCCTGACGGCCTCCAAGGAGCCACAACAAATCAATACCATCGCAGATGTCATCGCCGCCAAACTGCCCATTATGATAATGTCCTATGAGTATCAGGTGCTCAAGGATTACAATTTCCCCCAAGCATTTATGGATCTGATCATTAATGCCACCAAACCCCAAATGGATATGCATAGGGATCGCTTGAACACCACCTATGGCTATAGCACCCAAACTGATCGTTGGAATTTCATCAATATACAGCAGCGCTATCTGCGCAAACCCATATTCCGCCTTTCGGATATTTGCATTGGACCCTATTATCACATATATCCCATACAGAAAGATTCTCACTTGGCCCGCCCGCTGCAGACCTTTATTTTGCTGGCCTCCGATGTGGGTCTCATCGATCACTGGGAAAATGAGGCATTTGCTGATGCCCTGCACTTGGGCTATGTCCACATGATGACCGTGGATGAAATATTACCGCCTCTGTCGTTAAGTTTTTTCCGTTCCATTTGGCTCCTATGGGCCATGGGTGTGCTGTTAAGTATTGCCGTATTTGCTTTTGAATTTCAGGGCCAGGCCACATGTCGAAAGTTACGGGAGTTTTGTAAGCTACATGCCACAAAATTTTGCAATAAATTTAACGGAACTTAGAAATGAGAAGAGGAAATGGTAAAAATTTTTATTTTTTATAAATTTCGGGTAGGACGGGCGGAGAAATTCTGGGCAACATTAAAAATTTAAAAAAAGAGTATCTAAAAATTTTCCTATGGACGATTTGAAGACTTGAATGTCTTTAAATTAAAATTTGGGAGAAGACTTATTTTCTCTGGTAGAGATATTTTACAGAAGACTTGAAAATATTTCATGGAAGACATGGAGGTTTTTTCATAGAAAATCTGCTGTCAATTAGAACTGAAAATCCTCATTTGCGAAGGTCTTAAACAGATGACTTGAAAGACTTTAAAAGAAAACTAGAAGATCTTGCACAGAAGATGTAGAGGTCTTTTTTTGAAGGAATTCCTCATAAGACTTGGAGGTTTTCCTTAGAGAACTTGAAGGATCCCTCAGAAAACTTGAGGTCTTTCTTAATAGACTGGAATGTCTATCTTTGAAGAAGGTTTTCTATTGAAGACCTTCCAAGGTAGATACTACGGTAGATACCATAAAAGATTTGAAGATTTTTTAATATAAAAGTAATAGCCTTGAATAGAAGTCTTAAAAGATCTCCATAGAAAATTTGAAGGTCTTCTTTTGAAGATTTGAAGGTTTTTTACAGAGAACTTGAAAGTCTTCTCTTGAAGATTTGAAGGTTTTCTATAGAGAACTTGAAGGTGTTTCAAGGTTGCTGCTAACGTCTTCGATAGGTGATTGAATATTGAAACAGAAGACGTGAAAGTCTTTGTTGGGAGACTTGAAGGATTTCCGGAGAAGACTTGGAGGTCTTCCTTAGAGATCTAGAAGGCCCTCTTAAAAAACTTGAAAACGTGAAGATCTTCCTTATACATCTTGAATGTTCTTCATAGAATATTTGAAGGTTTTCTGTAGGGAACTTGAAGGTCTTCCAAGGTAGATTCTAACGTCTCCGTAGAAAATTGGCGATTTACACAGAATACTTCAAAGCCTTTCTTAGCAGACTAAAATATCTTCCTTTGCGGATTTGAAGGTTTTCTGTAGAGGACTTGAAGGCATTCCAAGGTAGATGATAACATTTTCCGTAGAAGATTGGAGAAGACTTGAGAGAGGAGACTTCTTAGGAGACTAAAATATCTTCCTTTGAGGACTTGAAGGTGATTCGTAGAGAACTTGAAGGTTCTCTTAAAAAAAATTGAAGGTCTTTCCTAAAAGTCTCGAATGTCTTCCTTTGAAGATTTGTAGGTTTTCTGCAGGGGACTTGAAGACCTTCCAAGGTAGATTTTAACGTCTTCCATAGAAGGTTTAAAGATTTGCTATAAAAAAAACATGTATGCCTTTAATGCAAATCTTTAAGGTCTTCCATAGAAGACTTTAAAGGCTTCATTTGAAAATTTGAAGGTTTTCTGTAGAGGACTTGAAGGTCTTCCAAAGAAGATTTGAAGCTTAAAAAAAACTTGAAAGCCTTGATTACAAGAGCTTAAGGTCTTCTATAGAAGACTTGAAAAGATTTTCTGTAAAGGACTCGAAGACCTTCTAAGGTAGATGCTAATGTCCTCCATAGAAGATTTGAAGATTTTTATAAAAAAAAAAAAAACTAGAATGTCTTTAACATAAGCCTTTAAGGTTTTTAACATAAGCCTTTAAGTTCTACCATAGAGTTTTTTTTAGGTGTTATATAGGATAGAGAACTCTGTATAGGTATTCTATAGAATATAAGACCATCTTAAATCTACGACTATAGTAAAGAAGATCCTCAAGATCCCCCTTCAAGGTCTTCTTTATGATAAAGGACCTTCTAAAGTGTATCCATAGTAGAAACGACTGTGTTAGGTCTTCTAGAGAATAAGATATCATTTAAGGGGCTCTTATAGAATAGATAACTCTCTGAAGGTCCATTATAAAAAGAAGGTCCTCTAAAGGACTTCTATAGGCTAGATTTTCTACAGAATAGATACGCCTCTAAACGTCCTCTTGTAGATATAAAGGCCTCTAGCTGTGTTCTTGGAAAAAAAGACCCTGCGACTCCAGAGAAGCTTCCTATCGTATAAAAGACCTCTTGACGGTATTATTTTCTCTAGAAAGTCTTTCCAAGATATTCTCTGGATAGAAGACATCTCAGGTGTCATCTATACTCTGGTGTACCGCTCATCTGTCATTTACCATATGTCATCTATTCGCTAGAAGAGCTCAGCTTTTATAGCATTTTTTCACCGGCTTTATATTCCAGTGAAGATCTCTTAAAAGCGTTGTGTTGGATGAATGAAAAACCTACCACCACAGATAAAGGTATATTATCTTCTATTTTCTGAAAAATCTGCCGCGATCTTCTATTTTATTAAAGGTTCTCTGCTCGTCAAAAGGTCTTCTATCTTCTAAAAAATCTGCTACGATCTTCTATTTTATTAAGGAGCTCTCAAAGATTCTGGCAAAAAAAGCCTTGATTGTGTATGTTTTACATACATGAACATCGAGAGAGGATAACTCTCTCTCTCTCTTCCTCTCTCTCTCTCAGTTAAAATTGTTTGTGCTACTTTCTTACAAAATAGAAAATCTCTCTCTCTCTCCCTCGCTCAGTAAACATTGTGTGTTACGTCTTTGCGGAAAAGATAATCATGAAATCAAACGACTGGACTCCCTTCTTCATTGAAATTTGAAAAGCTATTGTCCATTTGCAAAGCTAATTTGTTGTTGCAGATCTGGTGGTGATTTTACTGAACGAGGTTAGCTTTTTACACAAAACTATGATTGTGTGTTAACTCTGGTGAATTGCCCATGGGAGGTTTGTTGGCTAGTCCTGACTTAACGGCTTTATCTTCAAGACTAAGAGAATTCTGTCAAAAATAAAAACACACACACAAAAGCAGACACTCACACACAGTATATCTTTATTCTCTTCACTTCCCATCACATTATTTTCCCCGCTTGCCCTTTAACCAGGCATAACCACATTCCATGAAAAACGTCAACACACTGACAATATAGACAGCAAACAAAACCACAAAAACAATCATAACATGTTCCATGTGGGCCGAAGTATACTCCTTGTCGGTATTGAAATGTTGCACCAAACCTGCCTGCAAAGCATGATCGAAGGCATTGTTCTCAAAGTACTCCAGCAGACCCGACGAATACATGTTGCGTATAAAATACTCCATAGAACGTTTCACGGGTGTATCCGGTTCCATGGGGAAACCCAAATAAAACGAACCAAAACAAATATCCGTCAATTTGAAGAGACCCTGCTTCAGATGGCCCTGTTGCATGGCCAGAAAATTCCAAACATCATCGGTGACAAAATAGGCATAGCTTTTGTTTAGCCTCAGCTGGTGTTGGGCAAAGGTGGCACTGTCCACCTGCCTGATGAGCCGCAGGAAATCTTGGCTTAAATTCAAACCTCCGGACATTAGGAAATCATATTCATAGTCGATTATCATCACGGAGATGTTTGCCCTTATCAAGTCTTCCATGGTATTGATTTGTCCACGAAATATGGTCACGGTGAGAATACTGCCCAGCAGCGAGGTATAGTTGGCAGTCAAAAAGAAACCATGGAACCACACCGCAGCATAGAAGAGAAACCTCATTATGGAGGGATTTCTTATAGTTCGACTGGCCGCTATGTTGATGATGAAACAAAAATTCTCCAGCACACTGTCTCGTATAAGCCATATGAGGACATTCCTTTTGACGACCGTGCGCTTTCCCAGCGACTGGACATATATCCAAAGGCCATCGATGATGCAGAGTATGACAAAGGTGCCCAACACGGCATACCATATGGCATTTGTAAAGGGTTTGAGGGCATAGTAAAATGTTGATTCCCGATTCCATTGCGGCACCATAATGCACCAGCGCACCACCATTATGGGATAGCTGATATCCAGATTATCATCGGTGCTAAACAGGGCATAGGCATGACTCAGGATAATAACCTCACCATTTCGTATCAAATTTAAAGCTGCACGCATATCGATGACATCTCCTCCCAACGGGTCCTTGGGCATTTCGTAGACCTCCATGGAGGCATTGACATATTCCAAGAAGACATTCAATATACTAAAGGATATGCCACGCTGCACCACATTACCCTGGCCATCATGGGAACTGAAAACATAGGGGACATCCTGGCGCAATGGAGTCTTATATTTATAGCCATAGGCATCCCAGCCACCACTGGACACCTTACTCATGGTGCTACTGAAGCTGCTAAAAAAATTCGTACGCTTAGCAATGTGTATCTCAGGAAAACTGGTGATGCCATATAAATCCGATGATCCATTCCTATAGCCAACATAGAGTAAGCTAAGTTCAAAGTTATTCCTCTCCAGCACATAGAGAGTCTCCTCCGCAATGCGAAAGTCATCAATTCTGTCGACAATGACCACAAAATTCAAATATCCATGACGTCCCTTCAGCACCAAATTATGTACATCCAAAATGGGATCATCGGCAGAGGTGGTAAGGACAACGCCCAAATAATTCCTTTTACTGTCCGTTTGCATAATGCGATCGCTCAGGGTATTGGTCAGCACCTTTTGGGGTACAAATGTTCTCGCATGCAGTGTTAGCATGAAGTTCTCCAAATTCTCATGGTGTTCCCCATTCAAGCGTTCCGATATAAACCAAATCACCTCGGGTATTTTTATATAAGCCACCAGCGGTAATATGTAACCCATAAGGAAGGCGGTGTCCCAGGTTGTATTGACGTTTTGACGTAAAATATCCATTGCTTGACGACGTTTCTTTAACAAATGACTTGTTCCGTTTGCCAAGCGACAGACAAGCTTTTCGTTGGCTCATCCAATGCATCCTTGGGGAGTTGTATTTGTAATATGAACATGCTTCCCTATGCCTTGGAGGTTTGTTTTGTTATTTATAGTGAGGAATTTTTGTTGATGGAGGAAGTTATTTTAAAATCAAATTCAAAATATCCTTCCATTGGAGGTCCTTGAACTTCACCTTAGAAACAAGTCAAGGATACGAATTTGTAGATTGAACTGTCACCCAAACACATTGGGATAAGTTATAAGTTTATGTCAGAAGTTAGGTAGTTTATGTCAGAAACTCGGCAATTAGGGGTCACCTTTGGGCATAAGACTTCTCGGAGGTATTTCCCCGATAGAAGACCTTCTAAATATTATTTAGGTAGAAACCTTCTATAGGTCTTCTTAAAGGAGAAAGTATTCTAAAGGACCTTTTAAGGGAGGGGACCTATTAAAAGTCTTCATTGAACGCATTTTAAGCACTTCTAATAGATAGAGACCCTCTCAAGGGATAGAAGACCTTCCAAGAGTCTTTTATAGGATAGATGACTTTCATAGGTTTTTTATAGGATAGAGGGCTATTTTAGGTATTATATAGGATAGAGGACCCTGTACAGGTATTCTATAGAATATAAGACCACCTTAGATGTATGAGATGGGAACGTATTCTATAGGATCTAAGACTATAGTGCGGAAGATCGTCAAAAGACCTTCAATAGCGTAGAAGATCCCCTTAAAAGTCTTCCTAAGGACGACTGTCTTAGGTCTTCTATAGAATATGATATCGTTTAAAGCACTCTTATAGGCTAGATAACTCTCTAAAGGTCCATTATTATAAGAAGGTCCTTAAAAGGACTTCCATAGGATACATAGGTCCTCTAAAGGACTTCTATAGGATATATAGGTCCTCTATAGGACTTTTATAGGATAGGTAGGTCATCTAAAGGACGTCTATAGGAAAGAAGTCACTCGTAGGTTTTCTGGAGGATAGATCCCCCTCTAAACGCCTTTTAGTAGATAGAAAGGCCTCAAGATAAAAGAAAGAATACAATATTCGATCAACGACTCCAGAATAGCTTCCTATTTTATAGAAGACCTCTTGACATTCTTGTATTCACTAGAAAATCTCTCCAAGTTATTCTCTGGATAAAAGACGTCTCAGATGTCATCTATCCTCTCGGATACCATTCGCAAGGAAAGCTCTCCAAGAGCTTAAATTTTGACATAAATTTTCTGAAAGGCTTTATATTGCAGTGAAGATCCTTTAAAAGCTTTGTGGTTAATTAAAGACCTATCCCAGTTGTTTCTTAGATATAGGTATATTATCTTTTATTCTCTGAAAAATCTGCCAAGATCTTCTATTTTTTTCAAGGAGCTGTCAAAGGTTCTCTGCTCGTCAGAAGGTCTCTCAATGTTCTTCTATTAGGTAGAAGGCTTCTCAAAGCTTTAATTTTCTTAAGTAGACCTTTCAAAGGTCTTCTAGTCCCGAGACCTCTCAGAAATAATCTATCAACAGGGATACTCCTCAAAGGTTATTCTATTTCTAGAAGAGCTCTCTTAGGGCCAAAAAAAACCTTTTTATGGAGCGTCTCTCAAATCTCTTCGTTTCCTTAGAAGCCATTCAAAATGTTATTTTCTTTCAATGTCCTCTCAAAGCTTTTTGATTTGTTCAAAACCCCTCTAAGCTTTTTTGATTATTTTTAAGATCTCTCAATGCTTTTTTCTATTGGAAGTCCCTTCAGAAAATAGAATACTAAAAGATCAGCTAAGATCTTTCATTTTTGGAGAAACTGTCAAAGGATCTCCACTCGTCAGAAGATCTTTCAAAGTTCTTCTATTAGGGAGAAGGTTTCTCAAAGCTTCTATTTTCTTAAGAAGACCTCTCAAAAGTCTTCTAGTTTCGAGACCTCTTAGAAATCATGTATCAGCTGGGATGCGGCTCTAAGGTTATTTAGCACAGAAGAGCTATCCTAGGGCACCAAAGGTCTTTCTTGGGAGTGCTTCTCAAAGCTCTTCTATTCTTTACAAGTCTTTCTAAAACATAATTTTCTTTCTTCTCAAAGCTCTTCTAACTCCTTAAAAGACTTATATTCGTTATATCTAGTCTTTATATGATCTCTTAAAGGTCTTTCTATAGATGGTCTCTCAAAGCTCTGCGTTCTTTAGAAGTCCTCTCAAAAGCCTTATTTTCTCTCAAGTTTTCTCAAATCTTTTTAAATCAACATAAAATTGATATGATTTAATGTACAGTTCTTTTAAAAGATCTTCCAGCAAATTTTTCAAAGATTTAACAAAGGTCATGAGTTCTTCTTAAGATGGCCGGAACGGTCTTCTAGAAAATTGTTCAAAGATTTATCTAAGTTCATTAGTTCTTCTTTAGATGGCTCCTCGACGTTCTGTTGTTTATATATCCTTCCAAAAGTCCTTGTCCTCGTTAGAGGGGCTCTCAATGTTCATCCAGCGAAGAAGCCATCTTTTTTTGATGGAAGAACTCTCTAAGATCTCTTATTCGTTAATACGGCTCTCAAAGCTCTTTAAATGTGGGAGATCCTCTGGAGGCCTTCTTACCATTCATTCAATCGCATTGAATATCCCTTTAATATTAATTTACAAGTTGTTCTTCTCCCTCCCACTCCTTTCAAAAGAGGAAAAGTTATCCTTCACTTCTTGGAAAACATCAAAGTATGCATCCCCAGAGACAGGCTGATAAATGTCATGAAACGACAACGGAAACAATTGGAGGAAATTCAAGCAACGATGAGCTCAATCTATAATAGAACCAGGAAAATGCAGTCACGTGTGCCTTCTGTGAACGTAACCCTCTCTCTGTCTGTCTGTCTGTCTCTCTCTCTCTCTCTCTCTCTCTCTCTCTCTCTCTCTCTCTCTCTGCACATACACACACACAATAAGAGCCATTGAAAACAGTGTAATGATTAAACTGTAAGCAGAAATAAGGAAATTGGGAGAACATAAAAGTGCGACCCTCTCTCCGCCCACAAAAAAAAATCTCAAAGGATTTAAAACAGGGCTAGCCAACCAGCTCTGATTTAGAACTTCTAAATTCTTTCTATCAAGAAAGAATCTTTTCCACCTCTACTATCGACAGAAAATCTCTCGATTTTTTTTTATTTCTAAAAGCGCTCTGCAAAATCTGTTACATATTTAAGTCCTCTGTAATGGTTAATGTCTTTGGAAGACCTGAAATGTATTTATTTATTGAAGAAACATGGAATGACCCTTAAGCAGCGCCAGACAATAAAGAGTACTTTTTTAGCTCCCATACATTACTCTCTCAAAACATTGTTTTTAAATCATTCTGATTATGTGTGTGGAGAGAACTGCTCTCATTGAAGGCACCAGTGCCTGTTCAAGACTGGGCCTGCTTTAAAGAGTAATATAGCGAGGAGTCTGAAAAACACATTTATGCATTAAAAAATATATAAAATTAAATAAAAAAATTAAAAATGTATTTCCTCAAAATTTAATTTATTTTCAATTCATTCTTCTCTTCTTCGCGTGACAAATAATTTCCAAAATTAAACACAAACCTCCCAAAACATATATCCCCAACATCAATGCGAATATTACCACCAAATGATCCATACCGACAGCCTGATATTCACCAACTGCCCTGATGATTCTCAGCTGACCCGACTTGACGGCATGATATAATGCCTTCTGCTCACAAACCTGATACAGACCCGACGAATGAATACGAAAAATAAAATATTCCAAATTACGCCAAATCGGTGAATCCTTTTCCATGACATAGGCCAAGTGGTACGACCCGAAGCATATCTGGGAAAATTTGAAGTGTCTCTGCTTCAAGTGTTTTTGGGAGTATTGCAAAAAATGCCAGCGATCTTCGGTGGTAAAATACCCGAAACTTACATTCATCGATAGCTGATGGGCATAGAAGAACGAGGAGTTGACAACCAGCAGCAATTGCAGGAACTCCGGTTGTAATGGGAAACCTTGAGATTCCAAAAATTCCAATTCATAATCGATTATCATGATGGGCAGCTGTAGGCGTATTATGTCCTCCAGGGTGTTGATTTGCTCGCGAAATAAACTGACAGTCAAGGCGGATCCCAGATAGGAGCAGTAGAGGGAAGTTATGAAAAATCCAAAGAAAAAAATCGAAAAATTATAAAGAAAACGTTGCCAACAGCCTGGGTTGGAGAGGGGAAATGTGGGACTGAGGTTAAGTAAAAAACACATGTCGTTTAACCACAAATCCAGGAAATGAAGAGATTTCTGTCCTAGATGCCACATCAGGAAATCCATGGAGCATAGCAAAAATAAGACCAATACCACCATGAGCCATACCTGGCACTCGAATGGCTGCAGGGCATACAAATTGGTGGATAGTTCATTCCTTAGGGGTACCATTAGACACCATTTGACCACCAGCAATGGATAGCTTTTTTCCAGTAGCTTATCTTTTTGGAATAAGGCATAGGCATGGGCAGAGATGTGGATTTTCCGGCTGCGAACCAAAGACATGACATTCTGCATGTTGACAACATCATTTGCGGATTTGTTTTTGGGATATTCCACTAAACGACCATTTATGGAGTCCATGAAACTCTTTAGTATGGTATAACTGGTACCTTGAATCTGTCTGGCCCCATTTGCTGTCAGGTAGCTAAAAACTCCTGGAATATCCTGTTCCATGGGGGTATACCATTTATAGCCTCCTGTGTCGAGGGCAGCCAAAGCCAATTGTTTAAATTCCCTTGCAAACCATAAATCGTAGTCGGTGTAATTTTTTAACTCAAATTCTGGAAATTGTTTGAAACCAAACAGGTTCGCACCGCCTTCCATGGAATCAAAAAATATAAATGTATTAACAAAATTCCGACGGCTTAAATCCCTGGCCAAGTTTTCAATGGTTTCCACATCACCGACTTTGTGGGTGTAGAGCAATAGGCCGATATAGAAATGCCTTTCGATAAGTAAATCATTGTGGACCTTCATAATGGGATCCTCCAGTCCCGTTGATATTACCACAGCTGTGGACACCCGTTTGCAACCGATCTCCACCATGCGAACATCCATCCATTCGGTCCACACAAATTGTGTCAAATAGTTGCGCTGCGAAAGACCTTTCATGAAACCATCCACCTCCTCCCGTTGTTCACTCTCCAATGCTTGACTTATAAACCACACAATTTCGGATACCGATGTCCGATTTATATAGGAATCCAAAAATCCATACAAATATTGAAAATCCCATGAAGTGGCCAAAGATAGGCAGCCAGATAACACATATGCAAGAATTTTCAGTTCCATGTCTACGGGATGTTAGTTTGAAACTAATTTACAATTATGAACAGGATTTATGAATGTCCATCTAGATAGTGTCATGATTCCCAGGGAGAATATTAAATATGAAAACATTTTTTATGAACATGAATCGGTTTTAATTTAATTAATTTAAAATGCAACACTTTTCGCGGAACACTAACAACCAATGCTGGTGTTTTTAGGTGAGGTGTGGCTAAATGGGGTGAATACACGAGAAGTTATCATAAATTAAATGTGTTGAAAAATAATAAAAAAAAAGGACAGCGCCATCTGTTTTTGAAGTTCTAGATTTCCAAAAATTTATTATATCCTTCACCTTGAAAAGGAGGATATATTAACTTTGTCATTCCGTTTGTTACATCCCTAAATATTCGTCTTAGACTAGAATAATGTCACTAAAATCATCAAAATACCGAATATAGGAAGGTACCGTTATATGGGGGCTATACAAAGGCTTGGACCTGCATGGACAATTTTCTGTCATAGACTGTAGTATCCATTACGAACCTCAAATACCAAATTTAAAACATTTCCGGTGAATAATGTCGCTAAAATCAAAGAATACCGAATATTGGGAGGTACCGTTATATGGGGGCTATACGAAGACGTGGACCTGCATAGTCAATTTTCTGTCATAAACTGTAATATCCATTGCGAACTTCAAATACCAAATTTTAAACAATTCCGGTGAATAATGTTGCTAAAATCATCAAAATATCGAATATCGGGAGGTACTGATATATGGGGGCTATACGAAGACGTGGACCTTCATAGATACATTTCTGTCATAGGTTGTAGTATCCATTACGAACTTCAAATACCAAATTTGAAACATTTCCGGTGAATCATGTCGCTAAAATCATCAAAATACCGAATATCGGTACCGTTATATGGGGGGCTATAGGAAGACGTGGACCTGCACGGACAATTTTCTGTCATAGGCTGTAATATCCAATACGAACTTTGAATACCAAATATCTCTAGGATGGTTAGTAATGAAAGTGAGATATATCGGTCCACCTTTTAGTATAGCCCCCATAGATCCATGTTTAGGTATAGCTCCCATATAAAGATACCCACCGAAGTTCGGTATTTTCATAATCCTAGTCACATTTATCCACGAAATTATTTCAAATTTGGTATTTTAGTTGTTGTTGTGGCAGCAGTAGTACATATGGATGTTTGTGTTCTGCTAATCTGGTTCAAGCTCCAGGTTTAAAAATTCGGGTAATTAAACGGACTGTAGTCAGAGATCTTCTTATCACACGCCGGTCAGACGTCACGCATATATTCCTCAATTCGTGCCCAATATGAATTGAGACTACTACACCATCCTGAACGTAATTTCGCCAAAACTACCCTGGTTTGTCTAAGCAACTGGCGTTCTTCTGCTGCAATGGATGGGAGGGGTGGACTCCGAGGACGGCATTCATCCTGTAATTGCTGATAGCATCTGCGACTGCATCGGTATGAATGTCACTCAGACCCGTCTGATATGCTTCTGGATCTAAAGGTTCTCTCTTATAGCGTTGGACCTCCCTCTCTCGATCGTGTATATACTTCCAGACACGCCTAGGTGGGGGAGTTGTATCCACCATACGATGGTTGGGATGACTCTCATGGTAACACCGAAGCCGATACTGCAACGAGAGCATATGAAGGATTTTCGCCACCTCATGTGGATGGTCCACTGGTGTCATGAGCAAGCACCCTGTCGCAGTTCTCAGGGCAGCATTGTGGCAGGTCTGGATGTGCTTCCACTGCGTAGCACTAGTATTCGCAGACAACACTAGAGCCGCATAGCTGACCTCAGACCCACCTATCGCGTTATAAGAGGTCAACAAGGTTTCCTTGTCTGCACCCCAAGTGCTGCCGCCTAGTGTCTTGAGGACCTTGTTCCTATTTTCCATGTTGTCGCAGATAGCTTTGGCTTGCGCGGACGACTTGAACATGCTGTCGAATGTGACCCCTAGAATCTTGGGGAAGTTCGTGGTCGCAATTAAATTTCTGTCGACCTGCACATTCAGCAGTGTTCTCATCTCCGCAGCTCATGTGATAAAGCGTATGGTCTTTGATTTCGTGGCGAATATTTTCATATTCCTCGCATGGAAATATGCGGCAAGCTTCGCGAGATACGGGTTCAACCTTTCACATATGTCAATGCTTGAAGTAAAAAATTGTCTATGGAGGTTCCCGTTTTTGTATGGCCCCCATTAAACGGACTCAAATTTAACAGCATTATGCAAACGGTATTAAAGTTGTCGCTCTATATTTCAGGTAACACGCTTGAGATTATGAATTTTGCACATATTTGTGTTTGGAACTAAAAAAAAGAATTAAAACATCCCAGCTCTGAATGACCTCACCTCGGATTCACAAAATAAAACACATTTTTTGGCTGAATTTGATACAATTTATTTCCGATTCATTAAAAACACACCACACTTCACTCCTTCCCTCTATTTAAATTCATAATCCCTGTGGACCAGAATTAATGCCATATTTTCATTTTTTCCCCTTTTGAAATCCGCGCTTTTCTACATTTATATACCGCAATCTCCAAAAACAGGCATAACCAAGCGGCAGAACACATTAAAGCCCAAATAATAAATAGCAAACGTAAATGCTCAATTCCCGCCGCAGTTGTATCATGAGCCTCGGCCAAACGTTGTATATAACCTGCCGACACGGCATATTGAAATGTCTCATGTTCGTATTTCTGCAGCAAACCATTCGAATGGGTGCGAAATAGGAAATACTCCAAATCACGCCACACGGGCGAATCCATTTGTATGGGATAGGCCAGATGATAGGAACCAAAACAAATATCGGAAAATTTAAACACCTTTTGCTTCAAATGTTTTTGGGCCTCATCCAGAAAGTGCCAGGTATCATCGGTGACAAAATAGGCAAAACTTTTGTTGAACTGAATCCGGTGTGTGACAAAAGTGTGGCTGTCAACGGGACGTATTAGTTTTCCAAACTCCTCGGGCATTTGAAAGCCCTCGGAAAGTAAAAATTCCAGCTCATAATCGATTATCATGACGGGCAATTGGGCCTGAATCAGGTCCTCCATGGTGTTGATTTGGGCACGAAACAGACTCACCGTGAGAAAGCTACCCAAATATGAGGTATAGTTGGCGGAGAGGAAGAAGCTAAAGTAGAAAAGGGTAATGTAGAATAGAAAACGTTTAAGGACCGGAACCTGTATGGGCTTGGGTGTGGTTATGCCCAGGACAACACAGTAATCATCCAACCAAGCCTCAATGACACGACTGAAATATTCTTTGCGTTGAGCCCTGAGGATAATAGTTTCCAGGGTGATTTTAAACAGGTCCATGATTTGTAGTGCGAACAAAACAACAATTATTACCAGCCACACCTTCCATTCGAACGGCTGCAGGACATAGAGAAATGTGGATATGCTGTTTTGTAGCGGCACCATTAGACACCATTTGACCACCATTATGGGATAGCTTTTATCCAAATCATCATCGGTGTGATAGAGGGCATAGGCATGGGCAGCCAAGTCAATTTTCCGACTACGCACCAACTCCAAGACAGCTTTCATATTTACCACATCTCCACCATAGTTGTCGGGGGGCATTTGATATTCTACTATGGTACCATTCAGGGATTCCACAAAATCATCCAGGATACGAAATGTGGTGCCCTGCATCTGGGCCCTGCCCCCCTTATCCTTGTATTTTATGACATGCGGCAAATCCTGACGCAGTGGTGTGTAGAACTTATAACCACCCACATCCTGAGAGGCCGCTAACGCTTTTTTGTACTGCCTCCTGACATAGGCCATAAAATCGGTACGATTTTCCATCACAAATTCTGGAAATTGTTCGTGGCCAAAGAGTTCGTTTCGTCCATTGGTTTGTTGGAAGTACACCATGCCATTGACAAAGTTGCCCTTGTACAGGACATAGCAAAGTCTCTCGATGTCCTTTATGCTGCTCACCTTGGGAGCGTAGATGATGAGTGAAAGGCCAAAATGACGTCCTGTCATTACCCGATTGTGGGTATACATTATGGGATCCTCAGCATCGGTGGTGAAGACCACAACCATGCAATTCCGCTTGGCTGCGGTACGAATCATTCTCACATCGCTGCGATTGGTCCATACGTATTGGGGTTCCCCGGTGGCATCCTGAATGCGTTTTATGAAACTATCCAAATGTTCGGTATGTTCCGTGGTCATCCGCGGACTTAGAAACCAAATGTTGCCCATGGACTGTAGCATGGGGTAGAACTGCATGATGAAATTGAAAATGAAGTCTTCGTTCCATTGCAGTGCGGGGTTGGGAAATAGGGCTAAACTTATCACGGCGACTGCCAGTCTTCGAATGTTCATTGTAAACTGAATGACTTGCCGATTCCTTGGCATTTCCTTGGCTTTGTTTACCTGACACAAGTTCCGATGTTCTCATGTATCCCACCGAGGAATGCAACTCCCAGGGGCATTGTTAATACATGTCCCCCAAAGTGGCTTCTTCATTTTCATGTCTGCCGGGATGGTAGGCAGACAGAACACGTGGCTGGTTTAGTTGTCAAAAAATCGTCAACAATGAACGTTCGAAAATTAATAATCGCCATCCTTGGCTTATCCTGTTTCCCCTCACCCTCGCTGCCTTGGAATGATACCTTCATTGCAAATTTTATCCTAAAACTGTATCCCGTATTAAAGGCCCAAGGCAACATTTGGTTCCTTAGCCAACTGATGACCACACAGCACACGGAGCATTTGGATAGATTCATAAAACGCATCCAGGATGGATCCGGAGAGGCCCAATATGTCTGGAACAATCGCAGTGATGTACGCATCATAAGGACAGCATCGAAGCGTAACTCTGTGGCATTTGTACTCACCACGGGCCCAGATGATCCCGTCATGCATGTCCATAGTCGTGTTATGACGGGACGTCATTTTTACTTCTCCGTCTTTATATATGTGCCAAAGGTACACGATTTCCGGGAGATTGAGAGGCTTGCCCACCTGCTGTACCTGGGTAGCTTTGCCAACAGCATGGTCTACTATCAGCAGCCGAATGGTCAAAACGAATTGGCTGGCACCGAACAATTTCCCCACTTTCAGATGATAAATCTGACGGATTTCACGGTCTATGTTCGGCGGCAGTTCCAAAAAGTCATGTCAGCCAATCAGGATGTGGCAGGCTATAAGTTTTACACTCCCCTGCGCCAGGACCTGCCTCATGTCATAAAATACCACGACAAAATGGGGCGTCTGCAATTGCAAGGTACCACATTTCGTATCCTGGAAGATTTCATTGACTCCCTAAATGGTTCCATTGCTGAATACGAGATGCCAAGGGATAACTATGGTTATGAAGTGGTAAATATGAAAGAAGTTCTGGATTTGGTACGTTCCCGGAAAATTGACTTGGCTGCTCATGCCTATGCCCTCTACCACACCGATGATGATTTGGATAAAAGCTATCCCATAATGGTGGTCAAATGGTGTCTAATGGTGCCGCTACAAAACAGCATATCCACATTCCTCTACATCCTACAGCCGTTCGGCTGGAAGGTGTGGTGCATACTATTGCTGGTGTTCTCGGGTCTGCTCTCCTTAGACTTTTTACGAATTTTCTTAGACTCCTTAATTTTTAAGGAACTGAGAAGGAAATTTCCTAGCCAGCTCAGTGATGCCTGGTTGGAGGATTTTTGCCACATTATATGCATAACCGCACCCAAGGCCATACAGGTTGCTACCTTAAAACGTTTCCTCTACTATGCCACTCTGTTCTTTTTTAGCTTTTTCCTCTCCGCCAACTATACCTCATATTTGGGTAGTTTCCTCACTGTGAGTCTCTTTCGGGCCCAAATCAACACCATGGAGGACCTGATTCAAGCCCAACTGCCTGTCATGATAATCGATTATGAATTGGAATTCTTGCTTTCCGAGGGGTTTCATATGCCCGAGGAGTTTGGAAAACTAATACGATCCGTTGACAGCCACACCTTTGTCGCACACCAGATTCAGTTCAACAAAAGTTTTGCCTATTTTGTCACCGATGATACCTGGCATTTTCTGGACGAGGCCCAAAAACATCTAAAGCAAAAGGTGTTTAAATTTTCCGATATCTGTTTTGGTTCCTATCATCTGGCCTATCCCATACAAATGGATTCGGCCGTGTGGCGTGATTTGGAGTATTTTCTTTTTCGCACCCATTCGAATGGTTTGCTGCAGAAATACGAACATGAGACATTTCAATATGCCGTGGCGGCGGGTTTTATAAAACGTCTCGCGGAAACTCAGGAACATTCATCGGCTGGTTTGGAACATTTGCGACTGCTTTTCATCATATGGGGTCTATTGTGTGGCATGGGTTTGTTTTGTTTGCTAATCGAAATTTGTATTTATAAATATCGGCATTATAAGTTATTGAAATTGTAGGAATATTTTAAATTTATTTAACTGCCGGGGGTACAAATTAAATTTAAATTTAAAAAAAATGTGAACGGATTAATTTAGAGATTCAGAGAGAAGCTTCTTCTAGTTTTAAGTGAGATATTGTAAATGTTTGATATGAAAATAAATTTACTAACTCTATGAATGTATTTCTTTGATTTGCGCCCTAAATTAGGCACTACATTTGTGAATTCTTAATAGATTACTTATAACAAATCACAAATTGATATGTAGGTGGCGTTCCTCCTCATAATACATTATAGGTCTTAATGCACATTTTTCCTCATGGTTTTCCTGCATATCTATGAGAAGTCCTCCTGTTCTATATCAGAAATCGTTTCATTTCTATTTAAAAAGATTTTCTTATTCATCAAAATTGTAACATTTCTATTGGAAGAGTTACGGATTTTTTTCTCTGAAGACCATGTACTCTCCACGACAAAGTCCTACACTTCTCCTCTGATAAAACCAATTGGCGCAATATGGCAACGCCTGTTAAGACCTTTTTCTATAACAATGAATTTATTCTATTTTTTTTATGTTGTCTATTTTTGGAATTAAAATGCATTTATTACCTCTGAATTTATCTTTTATTTGGCGCCCAAAAGTAGACAATACAATTGTCAACTATTTGTTACTTAAAAACAAATCCTAAAATTAACTGCAGATGGCGTTCCCTATCATATATTAAACACTATAAGGAACATCTTTTCCTCATGCTTTCCTTTCATTTTATGGGAAGTCCTTTGTTCTGCATCAGAAATAGTTTCATTTTTATTTAAAACGACCTTCTAACTCCACAAAATTTTTGCTTTTCTATGGAAAGACTTACGAATTTTTTCTCTGAAGACCATGTTATCACCACGTATCTCCCCTGAGAAAACCAATTGGCGCTCTATGATAATAAATTCGTTCTTTTTTTATATGCTGTCTATTTTTTGGAATTAGAATTCATATACTGCCACTGTATTTCTTTTCTATTTGGCGCCCAATAGTAGACACTACAATAGTCTACTATTATGTTACTTAAATGAACTGCAGATGGCGTTCCTTATCATATATTAAACATTTTAAAGAAGATTTTTTCTCATGGTTTTCTTTCATTTAATGGGAAGACCTGCTTTTCTGTATCAGAAACATTTTTTTTATCTTGGAAAAGACCACTTCCAAGAGAAGGTTTACTGATTTTTTTCTCTAAAGAATTTTCGTGCACAAGAATTCCTTCGAAGATTTCCAAAAAAAAAAATAAAATCCGTTAAAAATTCTGTTAAAATCTTAAAAAATACCGAATGGGGGGTACCGTTATATGGGGGCTATACGAAGACGTGTACCTGCACACACAATTTTCTGGCATGGGATGAAGTATCCATTACGAACTTCACATGCGAAATTTGAATCAATCCCGGTAAATAATGCCGCTAAAATCATCAAAATACGGAATATCGGGGGGTACTGTATATGGGGGCTATACGAAGACGTGGACCTACATGGTCCATTTTCTGTTTTGTGCTGCAGTATCTATTACGAACTTCAAATACCAAATTTGGAACGATTCCGTTAAATAATGTCGATAAAATTATCAAAATACCGAATATCGGGGGGTACCGTTATATGGGGGCTATATGAAGACGTGGACCTACATGGCTCATTTTTTGACTTAGGATGTAGTATACATTACGAACTTCAAATACCAAATTTGGAACGATTCCGTTAAATAATGTCGCTAAAATCATCAAAATACCGAATATCGGGGGGTACCGTTATATGGGAGCTATATGAAGACGTGGACCTACATGGCTCATTTTTTGACTTAGGATGTAGTATACATTACGAACTTTAAATGCGAAATTTGAAACAATTCTGGTGAATAATGTCGCTAAAATCATCAAAATACCGAATATCGGGAGGTATCGTTATATGGGGGCTATGTGATAACTTGGACCTACATGGCCCATTTACGAACTTAACCTGCCTACTGGCAAAAAATACATGTGTGCAAAATTTTAGCTTTCTATCTCAATTTGTTCGAAAGATAGCGTGATTACAACAGACAGACAGACAGACAGACAGACGAACATGGCTATATCGTCTTAGAATTTTACGCTGATCAAGAATGACAAAATTAATATACCCTCCATAGTATGGAGGAGGATATAAAAAGGATAATCCGATTTTGCTCCAACTTTGCAAATCCTAATATTTGCAATATCGGTCCACTGCATCAAATACCTCCCCCACAAAGGGTCAAAATTTTGATAGATTATAAGTCTTATAAAATATGATGTAAGAGTCCGATTGTCTTCATATTACACACATCACAATATTTTTATTAACCCAAGGCATGGTGTGAAGATGGAATATATCGGTCCTCTTCTTTTGGCACTTTTCCCACAAAGGCTCAAAATTTTGAATGTCCATGAAGCTCTTAAGACGCGAAATCAACATCTGATTCCATTCAGATTTCACACGTCTCAATATTTCCATAAACACAAGATATATTATAAAGACGGTAGAGATCGGACCATTCCTTCTGGTACCTCCCCCACAAAGGGTCAAAGCCTTGAATAACCAAAAGTATTATAAAATCCGAAATAAGCATCCGGTTATCTTTATATTTCGCACATCTCATTATTTCTACTAACACGAGATCTGCTGTGTAGATGGGGTATATAGGCGCACTCCTTCTGGTACCTCCCCTACAAAGGGTCAAAATTTTGAATATCCATGAAGCTCATACAACGCGAAATTAACATCTAATTCGATTCAGTCTTGGTACATCCCAATATTTCTCTCAGCACAAGATCTTTTATAAAGAGGGTATAGATCGGACAATTCCTGCTGGTACCACCCCCACATAGGGTTCAAGAAAAAACAAAACGCCAAATAAGCATCAAAATCTCTGCGAATTTCACACACACAATCATATGAAGGTGATATATATCTGTGAACCGTCGACTACGTCCGGTACCTCACGCAGATTTTAACATTTTCTACAAATGTCTCATATAGAGTGAAGGGAGTAGTCGATATAGTCCAAACCTGGCACTTCGCAATATTTATATCATATTTATTTAGGTCCTATGCGAAATGGACAATTTTGGGTCATTCCTTCGGAACCTACTCCAAAGTGGGTCAAAAATTTGAATAATCCTAACACAAGTCAAAATATATTTAAATAATCGATCATTGGCTGAGGTTATACTTCTGTCGGCTAAACCGACTGATACTTTTTAACTTGTTTCCATAAGCCCTCTAAGCTTCCACTTACTCTTCTATAACAGAACTCTCTGCTCCTCTACGAAAAGAACTGTGCATATTCCAGCAAAACAATGTCATATCTATTGGTCACATTTTTCTCTGAAGTCCTCTAATCTCTTGCCCTCTGACCATATCCTTAGCAAAGGATGTTTTACAATGTATGACGACATTAATTAAAATTTTATAATTATTTGATGACCCTAACTGATTATATCTCGTCACGAAATGCTTGGGTAATAAAAGTTGGAAAAACATCAACACTATGGCCCGAATCTTTGAACACAAAATCAGTTGCCGTTCAAGCGTGGAAGATTCCGAAACCCAGAAAATTCACAACAAAATGTTAAAAATACAAATACTTTCATTTTTGCTTTTTACCCTGGCCAACTGCTGGAACATTGATTATGTGGGCAAACGTCTGGCCCTGCCCATAGCCATGGGAACCCAGGAAACGCTATTTTGTCCCTGCGCTGAGTGTCAAGATGAAAAACTGGCATTGCTCATGAAATGGATTCAACTGGCCACCATGCATCCCCAGCTGGTCATGTCTCAGCCATCGGATTATGTGCTACGGAATCACGATGTGAAGAGGAATCTTTTGACCATAATGATACTCCAAGATCTCGATGATCCCATTGTGGAGGTACATGCCAATCTTTTGCGGGGACGTCATTTCTATGTTAACATTTGGATTCTCTACGAACCGCAATGGAATTTCACCCTCATTGAAAATATTCTGGAATATTTATATGTCAAGAAATTTGTTAATTCCGATTTGTATTATGTCAATGCCTCCAATGGAAGGGATGAGGTATTTGGCTTTGCCACATTTCCGGAATTCTCAGTGGAGAACAAAACCCATTTGGTGGGTGATATCAAAATGTTCTATCATCGAATAATTGAGAAAACCGATTTAAAGGGTTATCGTTTTGAGACACCCCTACTTATGGATGCGCCCAAGGTCATACGATATTACAACAACAATGGCGAATTGCGGATCCAAGGTGTCACATACAACATCATGGAAATGTGTTTGGAATATTTAAATGGCACCCTAATCGAATCGCAAATGGAATATTCCAGTGATGGTGTGGTGAACATGAAAAACGTCTTGGAAGGAGTGCGCCAGCACAAAGTGGAATTGGCCGCCCATGGTTATGCCTTGTTCCACAACGATGATGAGGTGCAGAAAAGTTATCCCCTGCTAGTGGTTAATTGGTGTCTAATGGTACCCATTACCAACAAGGTCTTTACCATGTTTTATCCCCTGAGCCCGTTCCAGGCAACCGTGTGGCTAAACTTCTTGGTGGCCTTTGTTCTGATCAACATTGTGTCCCACTTTTTTCTCAAGTTCCATGATCTGGATAATCATAATTTTATTTTGATTAATTTTTGCAAATTCATCAATGCCGCTCCACCCATTACCAGCCATGGCAGTGACATGCCCTGGTTCGAAATGGTCATAAATGGTTTCATTTATGTTCAGGGATTCTTTTTGGCAGCCCATTACACCTCCATGTTGGGTAGTTTCCTTGCGGTGACCGTTATCAAGTCGGACATTAACAGCATCCACGATGTTATACACCAACATTTGCCGGTCATGATCATCGACTATGAACTGGAGTTTCTCGAGGAGGAGGTATTGAATCTGCCCCCAAAATTCATGGATTTGTTACATGCCGTCAACACCTCTGTTTTCTATGAACACCAACTAAATCTCAACCATTCCTATGCCTACTTCGCCACCTATGACACCTGGCATTTTCTCAACCTACAACAGGCCCATCTGAGAACTCCGATTTTTCGTTACACGGACATATGTTTTGGCGATTATCATTTGGCTTTTCCCATGGTGGCGGAATCGCCAATTTGGCGTGACATTGAACATCTGATGTTTCGTATTCACTCATCGGGGCTCTACTATTATCACGAGAAGAAATCATTTGAATATGCCCTACGTGCCGGAGTGGTTAGCCATTTGGTAGAGGATCCCTCGTTTCATACTGTGGGTTTTACCCATTTGCGCATGGTTGTGGGATTTTTGGTTATAGGATTCCTCATGGCCTTGGTGAGTTTTCTCCACGAGTTGTGGCAGAGCCGAAGGGAGAGAGAGCGTGCTAAGAGAGTAGATTTGGAGGACGAGGAAGCGGATGTGGCCAATAGTGTTTCATAATTTGGATGGAGAATTTTTTGGGGGATTTTATAGAGAAAACACATACACCTGTAGTTTTAATATGCATGTAGTGGAAAATAAACACACAAACGCTTTTTTACACTTTAATTGTTGATGCCTGATTTCTACGGGGTTTCTCATTTAAAGAAGAAAATCAACCCCTTTTCCCAGAGAAGGACCGATACTTTTTCCATAAAATACCAAAAAAATATTCTCAGAGAAGTTAAAGAGATCTTTTCATAAGTGTGATAATATAGGCTTTTTAAAAAAGACAATAAACCTTCCCAAGGATTATCAGAAAGTATTCTCCAAGAAGGCAAAGCGGCCGCTCATAGAAGTTTACAATTCTCTTCATAAAAACAAACAAAGAAATTTCCTTATGGATTGTCAAATATATGCCTTTTCCTTAACATCGAAGAATGGTAATTTTACCCTCAGCTATATGGCTAGAGAAGGTATATATCATTTGATACGGCCATCGATATAACAGTTTTAGACCATAGGTCTCTTTGGACCAAATCCGTTTCAGGACATTTGTAGTCAATCTAGCGGCGAAAGGAGTATCCGATTCGCTCCAAACTTGGTACATCGTAATATTATTGTCAAATTTGGATCGAGTTCAATAACGACCCACACCTTCTGGTACCTCCCCCACAAAAGGTCGAAATTAAAAAAAATATTTTACTGCACAGAAAGAGAAAGGATAATCCGATTTTACTCCAACTTTGCATATCCGAATATTTCCATCAGAGCTAAGTCAGGTGCGAAAATGGACAATATCGGTCCACTCCATCAAATACCTCCCCCACAAAGGGTCAAAATTATGAATAATTACAACTCTTATAAAAAGTGATGTAAGAATCCGATTGTCTTAAAAATGCACACATCCCAATATTTTTATTAATCCAAAATCTAGTGTAAATATGAAATATGTCGGTCCATTCCTTCAAGCACCTCTCCCACAAAGGGTCAAAATTTTGAATATCCATGAAACTCATAAAAAGCGAAATTAACATTCGATTCCATTCAGTCTTGGTACATCTCAATATTTTCATCAACACAAGATCTCTTATAAAGATGGTATAGATCGGACCATTTCTTCTGGTACCTCCCACACAAAGGGTCGAATAACAAAAACGATTATTAAATCCGAAATAAGAATACGGTGCTCATCATATTTCACACATCCCATTACTTCTACTAACACAAGATCTGCTGTGAAGATGGGATATATCGGATCATTCCTTCTGATACTTCCCCCACAAATGGTCAAAGTTTTGAATATCCGTGAAGCTCATAAAACCCGCAATTAACATTCGATTCTATTTAGACTTGACAAATCTCAATATTTTTTATCAACACAAGATCTGTTATAAAGATGGTAGAGATCGGACCATTTCTTCTGGTACCTCCCCCACATAGGGGTTGAAAAACAGAACGCTCAAAGAAAGCGAAATAAGCATCCAACTCTCTTCAAATTTCACACATCCAAAGATATGTGCTAACGCAAAGTCTGTTGTGAAGATGATAGATATCTGCCAACCACTTCTGGTACCTTACCGAAATGTAAAGAAGCGACTTGATCGAAACCCGCGTCACAGTGGCCGAGAAAAGGCTTGTGAGCTGAACATATCACAATATTTCATTCGGCAAATGTTAAAAAATAAGCTCGGTAAAGCCATTGAAATTCCAAAAAAAATCAAGAACTTACACCGCAACAGAAAGAAAATAGACTCAAAAGAGCTAAAGAGTTGCCTCTCTTGGCCGAAAGTGGTGAACTGCCGAATTTGGTTTTCTTCGACGATGACAGCAGTTCCTTGTCCAGCGGTTTGTAAATAAACAAAATGATCCGCTCGTGTTTTCTTGCCAAAGCGATCAGCTGAAAATGTGCACCTTCGGTTGGCCACCAGAACTCAAGCGCCGGCCATGGTGATAGTGGTGGTGTGGGCCGCCATAACAGCCGAATAAGTACCGAATATTATCGCGAAAATATTCTTGAGGGTGTATTAAAGCCTTGGGCACGCTAACAATTTGACGGCACACCTTGGACATTCCAACAGGACTCAGCACCATCGCACCCAGCACGCGCCATCCAAGAATGGTTACAAAAAGAGGTTCTTCGCTTAATTTCCAGCTCACAATGGCCACCAAAATCTCCGCATACCAATCGGTTGGACTATTTTGTCTGGAATATTTTGGAATGCAAGGTTGGCACTAAAAAATACCAAAGTGTCGATCACCTCAAGCAAGCGCTTCCCCGGGAATGGGCCAAAATACCGCAGAGCAATATTCGGGCACCGTGTGAGGGCTTCATTGGCCGTTTGAAGGCCATAATTCGTGCCAAAGGTGACCAATTCGAAAAAATCTAAAAATATTCTAAAATTTGATTCTATTTCCGACATTTTTTGCTTTCATTCAATAAAATTCAAAAAAATGTAAAAATTATGACCTTTGACTTTGTTGCAGTTTTTTTTATCTCACCCTGTATATCTGTCATTACTTGGGAAAAAATCGGCGATTCTTTACAATATGTTATATCTAACTATTTTTATTAACCGGAAGTCTTGAATATTAATATGTTATTTATTAATTTATGATTTCGCATAAAATAGGATATAAATGTTCAATTTCCTTCAAATTTTGCACATACCAATATTTTTATCTGTATTATATGGATTTTGAGAATGGGATACTTCGGTCGGCTATATCTGGTACCCCACGCATTTTTCCACATTTTCCAAAAAATTTCACATATCTCATATAAAGTATATGAAGTAGTCGATATAGTCCAAATCTGGCAAGTTGTAATATTTTTATAAGTTTTAGGTCAGATACGAATTGGTCAATATTGTCCACTTGCTTTGGAACCTACCCCCACAAAAAGGTCAAGGGTTTGAATAATCATAACTCCAGGCTGGGGATATAAATCTGTCGGCAAAACCGACTGATGCAATTTTCCTTGTTTTTTTAAGAAAGGGGAAATCGGTTATCACAGTCCTGGAACAGACAATATTCTATTAGTTTTGAAATAGAATAACATTTATTTCTTATCTGAAAAAGTTTTTTTTTTATTTTTTGAAAATCTTCTCATTGAAGTCCAATTACATTTCTAATAGAGCCTCAATTAGTCTTCAAAATAAATTATCGCTAATACACCCTTCCCTCTTTTCCCCAATTTATCCGTAATTACAACATTTCTGATTTCCATTCAAGATAATTCGTCCTCAGACACCACCAAGCCGTATAGTTTCCTTATCCAATTAGAATTGATGCTAATTTATTTAATTATTCAATTAACCACAACCTTTTTTTGGTTGCCCCATACAATGGCGAATTGAAATAATTTTCTTAGCAATTTTCCATTTCATATCAATCAGGAAACAAGATATGAAAATAATTCTGTAGGCAGCAGGTTGGCCAAAATCCATATAAAAACCCAATTTCCCCAAAAAATCCCCAACAAAGTCTTTCATTCGCTTGCGCCAGAATGAAGTATCTTCTCCTAGTTGCATTTTTACTTTTGTGTTCCAAGTCCATAGCCCATCACGACTCATCTGGCATACACCTTGAGGATGTGCTTCGAAAACAAGTCGAACTTTTAATTAAAATGGTGAAAACTTTGAGTTCCTTTAATCATTTCGACAACATCATTTTCTATGGCACGCCCAACAGAGTCTATGATGCGCCACTGAATGTCAGCACACTGTTGACCAATATCGGTTTGGAGGTACACAAAACCCTTGGCGATATTGTTGCAGAATTTATGTTTACCAATGAGAATTCAAGGTCGGTAATGATTTTCGCCATTGCACCCTGGAATTATGTAAATAGTTCCGAGAATATACCGAATTTGGGAAAAATCTTAACGAATCGCAATTTGGCGGTGATATTGATAAACGATATTTTCAATACGGAATTAAAGGAATTTGTTTCCACCTCATTGGGAGCTAGTATGGAGACAAAGCTGATATTTCTCTTAATTGGCCATGAACTGACAGAGGTGTTGCCCTTTATACGCCAGGAAAAATTGCTGCGATTCTTTCGTTGGTGTTGGTCCAAAAATATACTCAATGCCATACTGATGTATCAAGAAAAGCATGTGGTGGCCAGTGTAGATGATTTGAAAATGGAGATTTACTCCTATTCACCATTTCCCAGGCCCGTAAAATTGATCAAACTAACAAATGTCCATCCGTTTTTCTTCTTTTTTGATCGCACCTTGGATGTGAGGGGATATGAGTTTAAGACACCGGTGTTCAACGATAAGCCAAGTGTTTTCAAGGTAAGACAGACAACTGTGGAATGGTCTTCCATATGTGTTATTTAATTTCTTTAATTTCTAATAGGCCAAACGCCTGGATGACGATGATGATGATGACAACGACGAAGAAGTCTCTGGCATTGCCGGCCATTTATATTTGGAATTTGTGAAGAGCATCAATGGTAAATTTGTTGAATTGGAAACTCCCGAAAGCCATCCAATGATGTTGGACTATGAATACGAATTACTTGTGGCCCGTAATATTGACATTGCCATTCATCCGTTTTCCAATCTCTTGCCGCATGGTTATTACGGCAGCTATCCCATTACCAATACCAATAGCTGTGTTCTGGTACCGGTTATACCCGAAATTTTCGTTGGCCATTACATTCCACGAATTATGAATTTGAATATGTGGTTACAGGTTTTGGTGTTATTCACAGGCTTCCAGGTGGCATATTTTCTAATAGACAAGTTTAATGGCGGCAAATGGTATCCCTGGAAATCCATATCTCTTACCCTTAAAGGCATGTTGAATATGTCGCTGGGTGAAATCAATGTTTCGGAGACCTTTGGTATATTCTCTAGGAGCCGTATTCTTTTGATACACATGCTGGTTCTACTTTCGGGTATGCTTTACAGCCTAAGTTTTATTGCGGGACTCACCTCGGCCCTAAGTGCCACAATATTTGGCAAAAAACTGGAAACATTAGAGGATCTACGCAGGGCTAATATTTCCATTATGATGTTGGATTACATGTATTTTATGTATAACTACATGGACATTATACCCAGCAGTTTCGAAAGTAATGTGCTAATAGCCGATGTGGAGACAGTATCGCATCACTTGAATTCCCTGAATACCTCCTTTGCCTATGCGGTCTACAACGAAGAATGGCAGGTGCTGCAATCGCTGCAAAAGAAGCTGTGGAAACCGAAATTTAGAATTGCCTCCAAATTGTGTATTGCCAATGTATATCTCTCATTTCCCATACAATTTAATTCGGCATTTTATCATCCCCTCAAGAATTTCATCTTGAGAATACGCGAAACAGGACTGGAATTGAAATGGACAAGTGATATATTAAAAGATATACGAGAAACTACAAGTGGTGTAAATCTAATGAATCACCAAGAAGAACATCCAGTGCCCTTGACCATTGATCATTTGCGAGTTATTTGGACAGGTTGGTTTCTTGGCATGCTGCTGGCCACAATGGTATTTCTTGTTGAGCTCTATCTAAAGAGGATTAAAAGAGTCGTTAGAAGAAGGAATAAACAATCAAAGAAAAATAAATCTTTTACGGAGATGATAAAATAACAATCGTTTATTCAACTAAAAATTCTGTGGCTGAAAAATTATCATCAGCCTAAAAGTATGCTATGAAAACTATATATATACACTTCTCTAGGAAGTTTTTCTTTGGCTTGAACAATGCACAACTGCTCCTTTAAGAATTTATAAACTCAGCTGTTTCGAACGGTTATTTTCAATTTGAGTCTTGAATTTAATATAATAAATAAAAATAAAAAATATATAAAAAAATAAATAAAAATAAAAAAAATAAAAAATAAATAAAAATAAAAAAGAAATTAATGAAAGAAATAAAAAATAATAAAAAAATTAAAGTTGTTGCGAATTTTAATTTCCAATTTAAGGCAATTTAATCTAATAAATAAAAATAAAATAATAATAATAATAAATAAATTAATATAATAAATAAAAAAATAAAAATAAATAAAAAATAAATAAAAATAAGTAAAAATATAGAAATAAATAAAACTAAAAAATATATAAAAATATAAAATTAATTAATGAAATAAAAAATAATAACAATAAATAAATAAAAAAATTAAAGTTGTTGCGAATTTGAATTTCCAATTTGAGGCTTGCAATTTAATCTAATAAATAAAAATAAAAAAAAAAAACAAATAAAAAAATTAATAAAAATAGAAAAACAAATAAAAATAAAAAATAAGTAAAAATAATAAAATATATAGAAATAAAAAATAATTGAAAAAAATAAATGAAAATAACAAAAATAAAAAATTAATAAAAAAAAGTAAAAAGTTAACAAGCAGTAAGTTCGGTTCGAACTTTGAATACCCTCCATCATTTAGAACGAATTTAGAAATTTTCAACAAATAAAATCTGTTAAAATCTTAAAAATGCCGAATATACACGTTATATTGGGACCTACCTAGGCATTGTTTGTCATAAGACATTAAATTCGAAACTTGAAATAAACGGTGAATAATGTAGCTAAAATCATCAAAATACCGTATATAAGGGGGTACTGATATATCGGAACAATACGAAGTCGTTGACCTGTATAGACAATTTTCTGTTACAGACTGTAGTTCCCATTACGAACTTTTAATACGTAATTTGAAACTACTTCGGTGAATAATGACGCTAAAATCATCAAAATACCGAATATTGGGAGGTACCCTTATATGGGAGCTATACGAAGACGTAGACCTGCATGACTCATTTACGAACTTAGCCTGCCTACTGGCAAAATAAACATGTGTGCCAAAAATTTAGCCTTCTATCTCAATTCTTTCGAAAGATAGCGTGATTTCAACAGACAGACGGACACACAGACAGGCAGCTGATCAAGAATATATATACTTTGTTGGGTCTGACATTAGTGTTTCGAGGAGTTACAAACGGAATGACAAAGTTAATTAATATTCCCTCATTATTATGGTGAAGGGTATAATAAAAAATAAATACATACACACATGTAGCCCGTTACAAATAAAGAAATAAATATAACCTTTGTATAACTGAAATAATTGTGGAAAGGTTCGATTTACACAAATGTTATCCATGGGTGAATATGGGACTTCGTATAAAACAGAACCTCTTTTTGCACTTTCCTATGGGTTATTTTTCAACCCAGTTGATCTCGAGAAACTTGTGTTCAATCGACAGTCCGGAATTTCCAGTACAGAAAACCCTACATTTTACAAATTCATATATATATTTGATAGATATTTATTTATTTAGTTTTATATCAATTACGCTATGTACATTTACAGATTGACATAGATTTTCATTTTCATTTAAATTTCACAATTCTTTCCATTGTATATAAATTATATGTTAGATGATAAACAACATTTGTTTTCTAATTATGATTATTATTATTATAATTATATTAATTTGATTTAATGATAAATGCCCTCCATGCTGATCCATTTTAAACAGTGTCGCAACAGCACGGTAGCAGTGACATACATAATCATTTGAATTAAACTTAATTTAGCTAAACAAATTTAAAAACGTACAAACAAACTAACAGGTGGAATGCATCATACATTACAAATCCACCAATATTTCACCCTCAACAAAGGTTTTCTTTTCCAGGACAGCCGCTGTCCGAATTCTTTTGTCAAGGGGATAAAAAAATCTCTTTCACCAGGCCCTCTATTATTTCTCCTTCTTTATCTTTGCTATATATCACTTACAAAGCTATAATGATAATTTCTGGAAATCCATGAAGTTTGGAGGATTTTAGGGTTGTCCAAAGACACGCAAATTTGGATCTGTATTACATCCCATTGTATATTGCATCTCTAAACGCATTAAATTCATTTGATGTTGTTCCACACTGACCAGCGGCACAGCTGCTGGCATCTGGGACTGTTGCAGTGTCAGATTATAGGGATTCTGAACATATTCCTGATAGATATCACCACCAGTCTGTTGCTGACTAGTTGTGGCCGTTTGTTGAAAACTTACCGGAGTGAAACTTTGAACAATGGCAGGTGTGGGTTGCTTCTGCAATGAGGGATATTCATTACCAGCCAATAGATGGCTGATTGGAACTTTAGGTGCAGCATTGCTGGGTTCATCTGCAGCCGCCTTAAACTCCTCCTTTATTTCAGCAATGGTACTCACTTCATCGCCACTAAACACTGAAGTGTTTAAGAGACTGGTGTTATTAGCCTGTTGTCCATGTCCATGTTGCTGCTGGCTAGCATTAAGGCTTTCATTATGTTTCTGCCATTCCTGATTCTGTTTGTATTGTTTGTAGTAGAGATTGTATTGCTCTTGCAGCACATGTCTGAGGTGTGTTTCTTCTGGCTTTTCTTCGGGGACATTGGTGGTGTTTGCCACCTGACTTTCATAAGCATCCGGTGTGGCATCATACAGGTCGATGGAAAATGAATTACTATCTATCGGCACTGGATTGGGATTTATCATTGTTGAGGACATGACTGGCCTAGATGTTGTTGGTGTATGGGGAAACATGTTAGGAACAGTGGTGTTAAACTGAGGGGCAGTCTGAACATTTGCCGTTGTATTATGTTCTGTGACGACAGTTGTAATAAGGTTGGCTGGGCCACTATGATTTGTTTGTTGCGTAGATTGCACCACCGATGGTTGAGGTGCGGATGAAGTTTCATTTGTAGGGGAATTCATGGACACTAGTTGAACACCTTGCTGATTGTTGGCATTAACCAGAATGGGAGATGTCACTGTGGCTGGTTGTTCATTGTTTGCAGCGGGGGGCTGAGCCACAGGCTGTTGTTGCTGAGGCACAATAAACGGCATATTGTTAACAGGGAACTGCAAAGAAAATATAAGAAAGAAATCTCTTGATTTTAAAATACCCTTAAATAGGATTTTCATAACTTACCTGACCATAGAAAAGTGGTTGCTGCTGCAGAGAATCGGCCACAGGTGGTTGCAGAATTATACTATGTCGAGGCGATTCAACGGGCGATATCAATGAAACCGGTGATGGTACAAAATGTGTTGTTGCCTGACTTGTAGCAGCCATTGTAGATGGTGCTGCTGTTGATTGTGGCAATATTGCTACGGCTGGCGGAGACACAGAAGTCAATGGTGGTGATACCACTGCTGCTTGGTGATTGGGTTCCTTCATGACATGGGCCCGATTACCTTAAAATTGTGCAAGGTATTCACTTACTGCACTGTGTTTTTTTTTTTTTTGGAAACTTAATTTATGATGATATCATGAAAATTGAATGAAATGAATGGAATTGTGGAAGTAGCGTAGGGAATGATGAACCCTTTTTTCTAACAGGTAGATATGGCATTTAAGAGTCTACAACAGATGAAAGACTCTCTACCATTATCCAACAAGTAGAAGGCATTTTAAGTCGTAGATAGATGGAAAAATTCCCATCTAGGGAATGGAAAAGAATTTCTTAACGCATTCTATCGGCAGAAGACTTCCAAAGAAATCTACTCTGAATAGATATCTTCATAAGATTTATGTGTAAAAAGAAAAAACCTGAAGGTCTACTATGTCCTTCAGAATCATCAGAGAGCAAACAACTTTTTAACAAAGTATTTTCTGCTTCCCAAAAAAAAATCTCACCACTTGAGGTTTTGTTTTTAAAAGTAGAAATCTACGAAATGATCACATATTCCCCCATTGATGAAAATCATGAATATGCTGAATAAATTAACATACCTTCATCCCGGAATAGCTCATCTTTGAGATTGGGCAAGAATTCTCCGATTCGCTTCCATGTCAACTCCCACAAATCCATGCGTATCGTACCATCATTGTTGTGAAAAACTCGTACTGAATGCATTACCAAAAGCATGTTCTTGAGAATCTCTTGCATTTGTTCGGACAGCATATCCGAACCGACTTTCATAAACTTTTCAATATAGTCCAAAATTTGTATCCACAGATCGTTGAAGGCACTGCCCAACTCAATTAATGGCGTGAGATGATGTAGAAATACCTTTGACATAATGGTGGCCGTACGTATTCTAGACTCCTCTAGGAGCACCTGATCCAATTGAGCTACGGCAGCACTGTCAGGCAGTAATTCATTGAGTAATGGAAATAGAACCTGTTGGAAGCACGAAGCCCACTCGGTGCCGGATAGTGTTTGAAGATCATGCACCAATAATGCTCTTTGTTGCAGGCATGATATGGCATAGGTACGTACTTCACGCCGTCGATCCATGGCCAGGCGGGCAATTCCCTGCAACAGGGGACACCAACCTTGGGCCCACAATGCCGAACACTGTGGCACAGCACAGCCCTCCTCGGCCCACCAACGGAATATCTGGGCAGTTCTTGTATAGAGAGTATACATAAGATCCAACAATTGTATCGACAATGTCTCATAGCGTTGGGCCAAATCGGCCTCATCGCCATCTTCTCCAGCCGCACCACTGTCCTCGTCATGTTTGTTACGATCATTGGAACGATCTTGACGTTTGGCGCTGCCCTTCTTCTTTTGATTTGATGCAGCTGCAGCCAGAGCAGCTTCCATTTTGCGACGCTGGCGTATGCCACCATCCCGGCATGCTTCCACAAATGTGCGTATACAACGGACACAACTCTCAAAGTTATAGGGGGTAATGTGGGCTACATTGCGCACAATAAATGCCAATGAATCCCAACATTTGAACAAAGCAAAAGGCATGTGGTCCAACAGCTTGCAATTGTAAACCAGATTTGAGAGACTGGGAGCACCAATGGATTCTGGTGGAGATTGTGGCCTAGGAGATACACAAATTCTATTAACACACAAACAAAAAATTATGACAAATAAATTCTCACCTTGAAGCTGCCAAATCTGTATCCTTGTTAACCAATATCCAATTTTCGGCGGTGGGACTGGAGGGGAAGGGACTGCTAGCATTCGAATTTTGAGCCATGGGTATTTGTTGCTTATTACTAGCCACTTGTTGCTTACTGCTCAATTCCGAATCTGAGGTATAACCACGATCAGGCAAACCTGAATCCTCTTCACTACTCAAAGCCCCATCCGATTTGGCAGCCAAACCATTTGGCACCGGCAGTGAGGCATCATCGTATTCTGGAGGTTCAGCGCCAGCACCCACACATTCCAAAATCGTAAAGACAATCTGCCAATCCTGTTCCGAGTGGATATTCTGGGCCGATGTTTTTAACAATTCATACATTCCTATGGAAATCTGTTTGGATATTCTCAAGATTACAGCTGGCTTTAGCATTAGCAACATTTTCAAGGATTTCAAAACAACTGGACACAGCTCTTCGTTGCGCATTAGATATATGGCCAATTTGAGCATGGCCACAATACATCGATTGAGAAGATAATCATAGCCACATGATGAACTTCCCATCAACAACAGGTACATTTGATCACGAACAGCAGGCCATAGGGGAATCATACGGTCCCGATTGTAGATGACAATCTTCACGAGAAATTCCATCCAAAAGACAACCACATCCTCTGCGTATGGCATGCCAATAGATTTATGGGCACTGGGTGCCTTGAGAGAGCCCAAAACTTGTTTCAGCAATTCCTGCAGTGACTCCAATTGCACAAACTTCGATTCCTGGATCATTTGATCCAGCTGGCATTCCTTGATGCATTTTTTACCAATCTTTATGAATTCCTGTTCCTCATAGGAAGGTTCACGTTGTCCCTCGGACGAAAGATATGAATACAGACTGGAAAATATACCCGACTCTTGTTTCTGACTGGGTTTTTCCAATATCAATTGGGCCTTGCCCGAAGGTTCACAGAAATCTTCCACCTCCATCAGGGATTTGGGCAATAATTTCAAACGGAATAGTTGCAGATACAAGTCGAGAATATGACGCCAACCATCTCTCAAACAATCACCATAGTCATGGACCAAAGCGAAGACTGTGCGCATGGCAGCTTGTCCCTTGGGATTGAGACCAAAGTTGACTGCTTGAACAATTTCATTAGGAGCTGGATGTGTGGTTTCCAATTGGGCTGAACTCAAGATGCTGGTAAATTTGCACAGCGTTAAAATCAAGGCATCAAAGTCCTCATGTAGGCCATAGAATGCCGATATGGCAGCACATTTTGTAAAGCCAGTCAATGTTCTTTGATAGCCATTCTCACTGCTCTTATCAAACATAAAACTCAGGGAGCTAAGTGATGGTCCCCAAATGACATTGAAAATATCCATGTCGTATGTGGAGTCATGGACATAGGTGAAGAGGCCATCCGATGTGGCTCCACGTCGCAACAATACCTTCCACAAATAGTTTTCGCGAACCAAACCAGTTTGTTCTGCCGGCATTATAATTTCATCGTTCCTACAATACAATTTTAAAGTTATCGGCAACCGTTCGTAAAAAATGTTTGGGACTTACTTAATGGCATTATAAATGGTCGCCAGCAAATCCTGATCATAGTCTATGCCACCATTTAAACCTCTCAAATTCTTAAGGAAATCCTCTTGGGTCATGGGAATATTTAAACGTTTCGCATTGGCATTGTGCTGATCCATATTT